TCTCTCTCTCTCTCTATAGTATATTTTCAGGCCCCCTTGTTTGTTTATTTGATTTTAAGCTTTATTCTGCTGCTGCACACCAAAGAACAATGTGCAGCGTGTTCTCAAATCTTTAATGTCTTAAATACACTATTCAGAATTTAAGGCTGCAAAACATTTAGGGGGAAAAAAAACTTGCGTTGTTCATTCAGTAAATATTTCTGTGTTTATGTTAGTATCTGTAGATACACTATTATGTGTTGATAAATTGTTACGTAAGATCATCTATAGTTCAAAAGTGGCACTTTACAATAAGGTTCCATTTGTTAACTATATTTAATGCAATACATTTGTTATAGTATTACTCTGTTAACATTAGTTAATAAAAATATAACTGTTTATTGTTAGTCCGTGTTAGCTCAGGTCCTTTCAATAACATTCATTTTAATAATGTATTAGTAAATGTTGAAATCAACATTAACTAAGATTAATAAATGCTGTTATTCTTCTACTGCTGCTGCTCATCATATTAATGTTGAAAACAGTTGTTATATTATAAATTATTTGTGGAAATGGTAATGCATTTTTTCACTATTCTTTGGTCACAAGAACAGCATTTATATAAATTTTGTTTATTTTGTTCAGTTCAATGTGACCTTTCTCCATAAAAGTATTAGTTTTAAAAAAAAAATAAATAACTGTAGTATACATTGAATATTTATTCTTTTGTGCAGTCGTGTATCAATGCAGGGCTGATGTGTTTCTATTTATTTATTTTTTCATACCATTTAATTTTTTTTATCCTTCATACATCTACACTATCTTCTGTGCTTGTCATTCTCTCTGTCAGGCTCAGAGGTCAGTGGCTCCTAGCTGTGGCTGTGAGCTGAACACTCAGTGTGTAATGTGCAGTGGACGTGCTCTCCCTCCTGCAGACACCCAGCACCAGCTCCCTCTACTGGACAGACTGGCACAGTTCGACCCCTGCGTTCACCCCATCCTCTCATTTACAGACGGTGAGGACACACCCCTGTCCTTTAATTGCTTTTTTCTCTCATTCTTTCTGGTATGCACACATGTATGTAGACAAAAACAGTGACAGCATTAAGGCCCTTCCCTTGTTCTGCTCCGTCTCGCGCACAGCTGTGTCCACACAGTTTTCAAAGTTTTTTAAAATGGGGATGAGCGCGTATGGACGAGTTCGATACATGCACAGCACCACTTAGTAGACTCCTTCTGTCTCAACATTCCCCTCGCACCGTCACTGTTGTATGCTTACCATCCACGCGGTCACAAAATTGGGCTGCATGTGGACTGCTTGTGCGGACGTCCACGGACACTTCTGATGACGACAGTTGCGTCACGTGGACCATCGCGTAACACAGATGGCTGAAGTATCTATCCCCGCTGTTCATTTCCCACAGACTGCCTCAAGGTTGAGGAGTTTTAATAAAGGGTTTTTTTTCCACTGTATAACAACTAGGTGTTAATTTAAGTGTTAATTATTCTGGATCTGGTGATTGCACCTCTTAAAATAACCTGTAGGCTGCTCTGGGTTTAGAGCAGGTCATTAGTGCCGAGATTTCAGAACAGTTTTTGCTTTTCATGTCTGTGAAAATTCATTAGCATTAGTGTAACGGTGGTGCCCCCCCCCCCAAAGTTAAATTGTAGTACTTAAGGTAAGTATTGCCACATTAGATTTGAGGAGCTGATCTTAGATCAGGATTAGCTGATCAAGCATTCGTCTGCCTGACCTTTGCAGTGATAACTAGTAGCAGCTAGCTTAGTCAGACTAGCTGAGAGAGACGTATTTTCCCTCATTAATATGAACTCTCGAATCTGGCGTCTATTGTGCAAATGAATGATGGGCGTAGAAGAGGCAGGTGACACCATGGGTGAAACTCGAGTAGATGGAGGGAAAAAAAGGAAGAGGAGCCTCGGTACAATGAATACTAGAGTCGAACTCTGATGCCCTCTGCTGGAGATTTTACTCATGACACTTTGTGTCACTGACGTTTGCAGAGAATTGTCATCACTATTCACATTAGTACAGTAGCCAAAGGATGAAAAGTCTTTTTGAATGAGATTTGTCAAATGGTGTTTGGTTTGATTCTAAGAGAATGTACATAATTGTCCTCTTATGTCTCTCATACACATTTTAATTTGTACCTTTGATTTCCTTTTAATTAATTATTTATTTTAATATGGGTAACACTTTAACAATGTAATTTTTACACATTACATATGCTTACTACAGTAAGAACAGAAGATTATGCTGAATAACATGCAATAACCCTAAAACAAACCTAATCCTACCCCTAACCTTATAATAAGTATGTTGTTAGTAATCTATATTACACCCAGTATTTAAATGTACAACTGCGCTTTAACAGGGCACCTTAAAAGTAACTTTAATGGTAATTCATTTTTTTATCAATATTTGAAGCACTTTGAATTGTGTATGAAATGTGACACGTAAATATAATGCATTCCAAAATTGCATTGGAAATCAGTTTGGATGGCAGGTAGTTAAATGTAAATGCTTGTCTGAATCCCAATCCCATTTCACCCTTACTTCCCATAATTACCTGACCTCTTTTTGCTGTTTCTGGCCCATCAATGAAAATTGCATAAAAAAAAAAAATCTCTTGGAAGACTTAAAGCCAGCTTGAACCGATTTTACTTTCACTATCTGATGTTTTTTAAAGTGAAACAGGATATTCAACAAGGAGAATGTTATGTGAGACTTGTCTATCTGGAATTGAACAAAATTACAAGACTTGATGTCTGCCAGTTTTTTTTGAGGTGGAGAAAGTTATTACATTTTGATGAGGAAGAGGAACAGATGACATGATCTACCTGGAAACCTGGGTTTCTGACAATGCAAGACCATGTTTCAGATGATAAACTCTGTCGTCTGCCTTCTCAGATGTGATGATGAATCTACATATGCAGCGTGTGCTGAAGGGACACTGGCAGAATCGCCCTCTGGAGAAGATCAAGCCCATCAAGAAGATGTCGCTCAAGCACAAGTTGTGTTTGGGTAGCCGCATCTCAGACCCGTCATCCAAAGACAAACACAAGCTCGCCAGCTCTCTCCTCTCCACAGTCCGTGAGTGTGAAAACAACTACAAGAGACACCAAAACACCTCATTTATTTGCCTTAAAGGGCTTTTATTAAAATTGAAAATAGAAAGGAAATAGGAAAAATGAAGGGAGCTAGAGTCAAACCTGGGTGCCCTGCATGAGCACCGTGGCTCAGAATGACTGTATCGTGCACGCTAACATAGTGCTGGGCGGTATACCGGTTCATACCGAATACCGGTGTTATATTCACTCATCATGACAGTAAAATCAATATACTGCAGTATTTCCTCTCTCAATCAGCAGAAAATATGGTTAACACCCAGTCATGCATGAAAAAAAAAAATACCGTCATGTACCGTGAAACCAGTATAATTTTGAAAAATACCGTGATATAAATTTTGGTCATACCGCCCAGCACTACGCTAACATCTAGGCCACGGCTTTGGCAGTATACAAAATTGTGAGTGAAAATCCCCTGCTTCCTCAGCATCTGAAATGTCAGGAGCTGTTTTTTCTGTAATGGAGGCAAATTCTCACACCTTTAGGAGAATCTAAATCTGGTCTAAATGTGACGGCCCTCATGGGCAGTTAAAGTGACCTGTGAGTGTCTGGCCGTCATTAGCTACTCTCTGCCAGATGCTCATCGCAGTGACTCAGCAGTTATTTCTGGCATCATATAGGTCCAGCCACAGTTGCTGACTCCATTTGTTTCTTTTATATTCCATGTATGAATTATAGAACTCTGAAAGACGTCCAGATGTAGTGCTGTGTATTGTAGAGTTGAGTCATGTGTAATATAAAGAAATGTATTACTATTATTGGTAGTTGTGTATTTAGTCCAACTTATTGAGAGATTTTGGCATGACAATCATATTCGTTTTGCAACAACAGTTAGCAGATGTCCAAGAAAAATATTGCAAAACTATGTGCATTACATAAAATAAAGTATAGTGGCAAAGAAAGGATGTTATTAAATATTAAAAATGAAATTAGAAAAAAAAGATAAATTAACAAGTACAGTAGTATGAAATAACCTTAAAAATATCCTTAAGAGATTAAAATTAATAACGGTGAAAATACATATAGAGTACCTGATAAAGAAAGGATAACATTGACATTAAAAATTGAATTAGACAAAAAAAAAAAATGTGAATGGCAAAACAATAAGTGAAACAACACAAATATGAAAAAACTAAAGATTAAAATGGAAAACCGTACTGATTAAAAGATAAGTTGGAAATAAGGTAGAAAGAGAAGCTTAAACCAAGCAAAATTTATATAATCAAAGACGACGGATGCAGAGTAACTGAAAACAAATGTAAAATGGTTAACAGTAACGATTAAAAGAGAAGTTACAAATACATGTAATGTAAAAAATGAGCAAGTGCGAGTGTAAATAATTGCACATAAAAGCTGAAAAACATCAAAATATGCAGAGATTAAGATTAAAAAAAATTGTTTCCTCTTCATCAATTCATCAATCTTCCTGTTTGCCATTTCTCTCAGGTTCGTCGCATCCTAAGGTTCGCTCGGAGAAGGTCTTTCAGCAGCAGTTAGACATCCCAATCAGTGCCAGTAAACATGACTCTCGCAGGCCTTTCCACCAGAGCAGTTCTTTTGACAGGACTCACGGCCGAAAGAGACCTCGTGAACCCTCGCTGGACCGTACTGAGAGTATGTTGTTCATTCATTCATTCTTTTTTTTTCCCTCCTCATTCATTCTTTTATTCGCTTCAGTCACGTTTACTTCCATCTCCCTCTAACTCATCAAGTTAAGTCCTGTGACAGCACTGTCTTTGGTTTGTCTATAGATGCTCCAAAGTTCAATATGGACATGGGGAGTCCGTGCCCATCTCTGTCTGCTCTCAACACACCCACCCACAGTCCTCTGATGAGACAGCCGTCAATCTCCGAGACCTCCACACCCCTCCACCTCAACAGCAGCACTGCCGTAAGATGCTCTTCAAAGCGTCTGTTTGTGTAAACTCTTGAGATCAAGTTGCTTAGGCCTGTATGTGATTCTTTCAGACTATTCGCCGACGAAGAGGAGAGAGCCCATTTGACATCAATAACATCGTCATCCCCATGTCTGTGGCCGCCACCACCCGAGTGGAGAAACTACAGTACAAAGAGATCCTTACCCCAAGGTCAGAGACACAAGCTGTCTATCCATACCTGCCTCATATATTCAAAGAATTGTTCTTTAACTACTAAATATGCTGCCCTTTGCTTTTTAATTGCAGTTGGCGAGAAGTGGACACTTTTGCAAAACCAATATCTGAAGAGGATGATGCTGTGGAGGTACGGCCTTGCAATTGGTCACCCAACCGTTATTTTAGGCTGTGTTTCAAGCCCGTTAACGGTTTGTTACATTAAGCAGGATGATGATGCCCCAAAATGCTTTCTTGGTAGGCAGCTCATTAGGTTTTAAGATCTAAATTGGCTGACAATGTAATACAAATCTAGACAGTCTGGAAAGCCGTTTTGTCAAATATGATTAACTAGTGTCAACACATAATGTCTGATTCCTGAAAAATGACTCTTATGAGCTGATTCTTTTTAATGAGTCAAAAAGATTCACAAAACAGCCTCAAACCTTTTGTGAAGTTAGCGTTTTGAATCAAACTGTTGGCAGACTGTTGGTTTCTGTTGGCAGATTCAAAAAATGTTGTTAAAATATTCAAATACGTACTGAAGTCAGGGATTAAAGTTCCGTCACTACGACTGATTTCTGTCAGTTCATAAAGAGAATCACTTGCTTCATTCCTCAATGATTCAGCTGTTTGAATGAATCAATTGAATGAATGATTCAGTGATAAAATCAGTGACTTGCCGCCACCTGCTGGTGGATTTAGTTTCATTTTTAGCCTATAATTTCAGTTATTTAAATCATATTTCTGTATTCAAACTGTATTTAAAACATTAATCTCCACATTAATTTATTAATTTAATTGCACTCATGCTACCTTTGAGCCTCATTAAACGTCTGAAAATGTACCTACAGGCCACTTTTGTGTTCTTCTGTGCCACCTCTGTAGTAAAAATTAATTTATTTATAATAATTTTATATGATTGGTAACTTATTTGTCTTATTCTACTTATTATATTGCAGGGGTTAAAGCAAAAAAAAATGAAAAATCTTTTGACTGAAAATTTTTCTTCGACCAAACTCCATTCCTCAGCCATACCTGTCACACACCCAGTTTAAGAGCCGTTTTTTCTTCTTGTAATTAGGAGCGATTGTCCTCCTAATTTAAACATTTAGGAGCACCTTCTGATCAATAATCAAAAATTCTGATACAAAATTAGCCTTCCTAATACGAGCTGACATTTGACTCCTTAAAGTGACTTATAGGAGAGTATTTTCTCTTTACCTTTGTAATGGCATAATTTTCATCTGTCAAATTCAAAAATTTACATTTATAATCTTTTTAAAATGTCTATTTAAAACAATATGTAGAATAAGACAAATAAGTTACCAATCATATGAAATTAGTATTAATAATTTAATTTGTACTACAGAGGTGGCACAGAAGCACAAAAAAGTGGCTTGTAGGTACATTTTCAGACGTTTAATGAGGCTCAGAGGTAGCACGAGTGCAATTAAATTCATAAATTCATGTGGAGATTGTTTTAAATATAAAATTTTGAATACAGAAATATGATTTAAATAACTGAAATTATAGGCTAAAAATTAAACTAAATCCACCAGCAGGTGGCGGCAAGTCACTGATTTTATCACTGAATCATTCATTCAATTGATTCGTTCGAACAGCTGAATCATTCAGGAATGAAGCAAGTGACTCTCTTTATGAACTGACGGAAATCCGTCGTAGCGACGGAACTTTAATCCCTGTGAAGTGCTTCTGAACAAACATCTTTATCAAGTGATTCTGTAATTTGTGATTTGGCTTGTTAATGTTTAATTTTTTTATAGCATGTAGCCCTGAATACTGCCCGGTGTACGTTTTTAATGATCTTCTCTCATTGTCTCAGATTGAGGATCTCTCTGACGTCACATTCTCTCAGCTTCACCTTCCGTGTGAGGAGCAGGAGCGCTCTCGCTGGAGTTGGACTGCCAGCAACATCGCAAAGAGAAGGGGCAGCAGGTGGGGCAACACAACTCGAAATGCTTTTCTCTGCCCTTTTTAGGATCAAGTGCAATTTCTTCTGATTAACAACTTTGTAACTGTCTGCACATTTTGTACTTCATGATGCCAAATGAGTAACCTGCCAGTTTTAAACATGAGAGAAGAATTGCTGTGAAAAACGACTACAGGCAGTTCGCTTGCCTCAACAGTACATTGAGAACTTATTGAAGCAATAAGCATTACATCGATGTCACCTCGGGTTCCACTGATGGGGTGTTACGTACATTTAGTCCTGGTTCACACTGTCATTTCTAACACCAAACCTAAAGATACAAAACCAAAGGCATGAAGATTTGCGACCCTCTCTGTGAAATCCAGGCTAAAGTCTCAAAATCTAATTATGAGATAAGCATCAAAGTTTGATTTCAACCATTAATTTCACTATGATTTCAATCTTTGACATGGTCTTAGTAATAATAATATCAATGTTACATTTTCACAGAATGTTCTTTACCTTATGAAGGATGATTTTATATAGAAAACAGTAAATCACTAAAAAATGACTTTAGCTGGGTTTTCACAGACAGGGTCACATATGGTCATAACCCTATTGGGCAGCTTTTATGACGTATATTTTGCAACAGATCTTACCAAACATCCAAAATAATGCTAAGCAATGTTAAGCAGGGCTAAACACTCGTTGTACAGGTGCATCTCAATAAATTAGAATGTCATGGAAAAGTTAGATGCTGATTTCATTTTCCAGCAGGATTTGGCACCTGCCCACACTGCCAAAAGCACCAAAAGTTGGTTAAATGACCATGGTGTTGGTGTGCTTGACTGGCCAGCAAACTCACCAGACCTGAACCCCATAGAGAATCTATGGGGTATTGTCAAGAGGAAAATGAGAAACGAGACCAAAAAATGCAGATGAGCTGAAGGCCACTGTCAAAGAAACCTGGGCTTCCATACCACCTCAGCAGTGCCACAAACTGATCACTTCCATGCCACACCGAATTGAGGCAGTAATTAAAGCAAAAGGAGCCCCTACCAAGTATTGAGTACATGTACAGTAAATGAACATACTTTCCAGAAGGCCAACAATTCACTAAAAATGTTTTTTTTATTGGTCTTGTGAAGTATTCTAATTTGTTGAGATAGTGAATTGGTGGGTTTTTGTTAAATGTGAGCCAAAATCATCACAATTAAAAGAAGCAAAGACTTGAACTACTTCAGTCTGTGTGCATTGAATTTATTTAATACACGAGTTTCACAATTTGAGTTGAATTACTGTAATAAATGAACTTTTCCATGACATTCTAATTTATTGAGATGCACCTGTATGTGTGTACACATGGTGGAATTTTTACAAGCTGAGAACACCCAAGAATTTATAAAATGTGTAAAGAAGTCAAAACGGTGCAAGGAACTCCTCTGTTCCACGCACAAAGAAAGATCTGCTTCGAGGACATGGCAGTTCCGAAACTGTAATAGGTTTTGGTTAGTTTAGATGTCGTTGGTCTGTGTTGCATTCATATTTCAGTCAAACCACATCTTTTCTTGTTTGGTGTGCACCAAGGTTTGGATGGCAGCGTTTACATTTATTCACCGCACTAATGGAGCAATCGCACTAGAGTTTGTTTTAATCGAATCAAACCTGCCAAGTCTGAACACACATGATGACCAGCGCTAATCTTTGTCTCCACAGGTCATACAAGTCTGTGGACGGACGGACAACCCCCTTGCTGTGTGGCACAAACCCCTCCACACCGCAGTCCTCGTCTCCAGACACGGCGAATTTCCACATGCTGCATGATTACAACTCGGTGGCATCTCCATCTAGCCCTGTCAGTCCAGAGATGCTGATGCTGTCCAGCCTCCACACGCCCGGCTCCAGAGACTCCCAACGGCTGCTGTCCAACGAGGACACGCGCTGCTCCACCCCAGATACCTACGAGGAAATGGTAGGCTCCTGATATAGAAGAAGCATGGGTAAATTTCCTAGAATTTATGTTGGCTAGTGTTTCAGGTAAAGCTAGAGGCTTTTATTGTACATTCAAATTCACATGTGCTCAGTTGTACTGCAGTACATTTTAGGGATGTAACGATTACCGGTTTGACGATAAATCATGATAAAATTCCCCACGGTTAGTATTACGGTTTCATATTTTAATTATCATTAAAACCTTATTAGATTACTGCGATTTGAACAACTCGCGATAAATAAATACTGTCCAGCATAAAGCACAGTTTTAAGTAACAGTCTCACGTGCGCACAGCACGCAGAGTAGTTTCGTTTTGAGTGAAAACAGGACGGAAAAGCTGGGAGGTTTTAAAAGAGTGCTTAGGGAATTTTGCTGATTTTTAAATATAAAACTTGAAGTGATTTATGTGTCTGTACTTTTTGAACATCTCCAGCACATTTGAACAATACCGTGATAAAACTGATAACCGTGATAATTTTGGTCACTATAATGGTGATAAGAAATGTTCATATCGTTACATCCCTAGTACATTTATTACAAGGACTGTCACATTGGTGCAACTGAGGAGGAATTAGGAAACAGACAACCTTCTGGAAACAACCTTTTGGTTATTCTGTGTTCAGATATTTACTTGGTGTGTCTCTGTTTGTCTCTACGGGCTCCCCAGCCGGTACAGCCATGGGAATGCCGGACCTTTCCCCTGGATGTGGATCCACAGCAGGAGAGCGAAATCCTACACAGTCCAGATGGCGAGAGGTCCTGTAGGACCATTCGACGGGTGTCTGGGAGCAGGTCGTCCAAGTCGGAGTCTGACGCTGGGCCTTCGTCACCTCTCGGCGATGACGGCACCAAACAAAAACAAACCAACCCACCCAAACCTACTCACCGATGAAGCCTAGACTCTGCCCACCCACTGAACCCCCTGCCCACCAGCTTTCACAAACTCCTGAAACAGCAGCATCATAGATGGAAAAAAACAACAACAACGAAACGAATGAAAGTCCCTGTTGTTTGATATTCAAACATCAGTAAATTCTTTCACGGTTTTTAGTGAATTGTATGGAGATATATATGAAGACCAGTTTTAATTCAGTCTCGCTTTTGGGTCACTGGAGAAAAAATGTTTCAAAAATAAAAAGGAAGAAAGAAGCTTGAGGGCTAAACCAAAATAAGAAGCTCAGAAACGTATCGTATATCGCAGAAGAGCACTTCCCCCTTAACATGCTGTCGTACTGAGGGGCTCGGCGCGATATTTCCAATATCCCACCTAAAATTACTCATTCAGGTTTGCAGTTTATACTGGAGTGATAAAACGCAAAAATAAAGCCAATGATAATGATTGCAAGAGACTTGCACGAAGGCGCAGAAGCCTGTCTTTGTTCTTTCTGTGTGAAAGCACTTCAAATTCTTTTTCTCTACACATTCCCTTCCTATTATTTTAAACAGACAAACTTGCCCGAGAATTGCATAAATTCCACTTTCTGGTTTCATTTCAGTCCCATGTTCTCGTTAATACTGTGGTTTGTCTGTGCCCCACTTCTGTCAAAGTGACGGAGAGAGCAGGTGCCAGAAAACGAAACTGCTGTGTCGCTCTCATGCGCCTTTTAAATGCCACCGTTTGATTAGAGCACTTAATTGGTCTCTTGCACGACACGATTGCCAGTAAACTTAAAATCAGCACCTGAATAAATGTACAGGATGTGCTAACATTTGAGACAAGATTGCACTCGCCGCAAACTCTGTAGCTTAGCATCGTGTAACAAGATGGCTCTTTCTCATGTGGGCTTGCATTAGTGTGAATTTTAAAGCACTTGACGTCGCTGTGCATGATCAGGTTAGTCCAGAAAACGTGCAGTCACTCCAATATAAACTGAAATTTGCTGCCACTTGACTCGGCTTTTCTTCGATTTCGTTCTAACCCTATATAAAAGAGCCCTTCCATTGATTGGTCAGGTCTAAACTCTGTTTAATAAAACAATCTGCAGTACCTACAGCCATCATAGAATCCCGTAACTTGACGTTCGAGTAATAATGTTAGCTGGAGTGCTTGATAGGAAAGGACATGGCAAATTTTCATTCGTTGGCTCCTCAGTTGCTGACGGTCACAGCCCCGTTTTTCCATTGTGTAACGATGAGGAACGATTTCTGTTAGTTCCCCAGTCAGTGAGTCACTGCTTGCAACTCCTTCCTGTTATTTTAACTAATACGAATGTACAAGTCTAATAGCGGACACCAGTTACTTAAGATTTTTATAAGTAGCTTCTCTGTATCTGTCGTCACATGTTTCTAGCTATTGTAGCCATTTGTTCTTGTTAAAGGGATGTCATGTAAACCAGAAATCCTTAATATATTCCTTTTATCTCACTGGAGTGTAACAGCATTCATAGCGTCAGAGAAATCTCATCTGTTGAGGTTGTGTGGCAAATCGTAAGGGGACCATCCACGACTGTCCCATTTCCTGCTGAGAAAACCCGCCGCCCCTTTCATTCTTAATATCATTAATTATGGTTTTATGTCTCTCTCTGTGGGGGTCTGTGTACTTATCAGGCAAATGTACCATAAGGTTTGATTAGCTTTCAAAAGCCAATATTGTATCGTGTGAGTTATTTTCATACTTTGAATTTCCAATGTGGTGAATGAGGGTTGGGTGAGTCTGGTATATCCTTTAGCATGTAATAGTTTGTACAAAACAACAATAACAACAAAAAGTTTATTTTGTACATACCTTGTTTGATTCTTTACTGTGTTTGATCATGACTGTATAAAATGCATCCACTGAGTAAATAATCTGAACTTCTGAAGGGAAAAGGAAACCAAAAGAGCAATCTCAAAGGACACATAAAACAGTTTAATACGGACTTTATTCCAAATTCACGTTTACAGCAAGGAGTATCAGTGTAAACCAATTAATAAATCACATTACGATAAAGACGATCACAACTGTCAAGCTAGAATGAAGAACCGCGATGAGAAGAGCAGAGGCGGGAAATGAAACGGAGAGAGATAGAGAGACGGTTAACAGATTATTACAGAACCGTTTGAAACACAGCTAAAGGGTAGAATTACTTAAAAGGCCTTATCCAGTGCCATTTTTAAACATTTGATCTGATAAGTCTGTTCTTCAGCTTAACCCCACGCGTCTAAATGCTCAGGTTTATGTTAGCAGCATGCTGTACAAAGGACGGCCAGTGTTGGGTTTACAGCAATCCGTCTAAAGCTTCTCAGGGTCATGTGAGAGAGATACATGTGGCACTAGTTAAGTCCTTTACTGATATTGTGGATTCTGGATGCAAATTATCCCTCTATTTTACCTATTATTATATTTTTTCCCATTTCTAAATGCAAGATATACATCTAAATGAGTAATGCTGTTTGTGTAGAGGCAGCTCTTCTGTCAAATCAGTGCATTCACTTTCAAATGAGCGTAAAGCTGCAATGCACTGCGGATATTAAATAAAAAGTTTCGTGTCGGATCCAAATCAGATCTTCTGAACGCATTCGTACATCTTTTACATCTTCCACACAATACTATTAGAAAAAAAGAGTGCAACATAAACCTGGATTTTAGCAGGTAGCTTTGTTCCTTCAATCTTCCTCCACTTTTTTTTTTCTTCTTTCTTTTCATGTTTTGAGATGAGTTAAACACTCTAGTAAAGGTAGTTTTCTAAACAGTTGGACATGGTTACTATATTCAAGACCATGGGTGAAGTCCATTGCATGCTGGGAATGTGAGCGTTGTGGTTTGGTTTGATGACTATATTGAAGGCTTTAGTACTGAGGGGAGCTTGGCTATGAAAAGCCAATCCAAAGCTGAATCCATCTTAGACCAAAGAGAATCTTTAAAACATAGACAGTCTTCTCGAATGTAGCTGATGGACACCGGGAGGCACTTTTCTATTGTCTGTTCTCAATATGAGATTTCCTGATGTGATGTTAGTTAATTTTATTGAGTGCTTTGAATTGAAATCCTCTCATGTCTTTTGCATTGGTCCATACACACATGCTTTGGAACAGCATTTTAGACACAGAAGCTGAAATCTATCAATACAGAAGCATCATTACCATACAGATATAAGTTGAAGGAAACAATGAGAGGATGTACCGAGTGATATCTCGAGTTTGATGGTGCTTGTGCAGGGCAAACTACTTCAGAGCTCAACAATAAGGATGACAATGTGATCTGGGGCCTGTGTAAGGCAGTCACTGCATCTTATATTTGGTCTCATAAACCTTTTAAAACATAGCAATCATGTTTGTTTTGAAAACGGAAACTTCAAGCGATGTATTGGACGCCGTAAGAATGATGCAATGGTTGTCATTTAATATCAGTAAGGTTTTGCATTATATGTCATTTAGCTGTGTAAAAAAAATCATCTTTCATGCAGTTTCATTTTTAATAATTTGCATCAAATAATTGTAAAAAGATCATTTTAAACAAAATGTTGCTAAAAAAATTTTTTTAATAAAAGCTATATGTAAAATTTCATAGCTTTCATGGAGTTACATTTCTAATTATTTGCATTAAATCATACAAATCTAGAATTAAAATGTATATTTTTAGAGACAAAATATGTTGCTAAAAATTAAATATAAAAAAAAAAATGTGAACAACTGTCCAGATAGACAAAAATCCTTATTGTTGAGCCCTGTACAACAGTTTATTTCAATTTTTTGAATGATTTTTATATATTGACATTTGCTTTCTTCTCTGTCAAGAGTCGCTAGAGGCAGCAAGCAAGATTTCATTCAGCGATGCAACTTCCTGTGCATTTATGAGGACAGATAAGCCTTGGGAATTTGCTGTGGTGATGAATGAGGATGTGCAGTTTAATAAAATTCACAGGTAAAGTCTGGTACCGAAATTTCCAAACTATGATATTAGAATTACAGCATCCTAGACTCATCTGAATAATGATCTTTACTGTTTTAATTTGGATCGAACACACAATTGAGGTGTTTTGTGAATTTAAAAGCTTTTATTAAACACCAAAGCATGCACTATAGTGCTCGCTGATGCATTTGATTGAAATAATTATATAGCAGGCCTCTATTGTTGTTAAATATGTGTCCGCTACAGCCTGATTGCCTCAAGTTTTACCTAGGAGCGTTTGAAATGTTTCTGTCCTATCAAATTCATAGCCAGTATCATTAACTGCACTCTTCCAAACCATGTAGCATGTCTGCCTTCCCTACTGCTGCATGTCAAAACAGGAGTGCATAAGTTATGGTAAATAAAAACATTCACAATAAGGCAACGAAGCAAATACAGCTTTGAAAGCAAATGTCATTGTTGTTTCTTTCAAAAATTGGGGTATTAAACGAACAAAATCAGGCTACTCAGTGCTGTAAATGACCATTTGGATCAATACACCACCAGCTCCTTTTAAATTGTAGTGTTTTTTTTTGTGTTTTTTTTATGCTAAGCCAATAACATCAATACCTGTCTTTCCGTGCCAGGAGGCAAACATTTTTTCACAAGCAGACAAGCCGCTGGGACAATCTTTAGGCAGGAAAAATCCGACAAGCACCTCTTTTGAAAGGACTGAAGGAGATACATTTTTTACTTTTTTTTTTTCAATTTGTCAATTGCCAACACGTTTGGGCCGGCAGCTCACAGGCCTTGTTTAGCGAGGGAGGCTGACACCTGATCAGCTAGCGTGGACAGTTGCGGGGAGTCGGTCATGTTGATGCTGCCGGAGGAAGACACGTTGCTGAGGCGGCGGGGCGATCCATCCGTGGAAATGTCGGGGGATCGGCACACGATCTCAGCACCGTGATCGGTGCGCGCTTTGGCTTGCTCTCGGAAATTTAGCTTGTGGCTCTCAATCTGATGGGAGGAAAGGAGGAATTTGGATTAAATTGGATGGACATAATATGTAAGATAATATGTGCATAAAATAAAATGAAAGGTTGTATGTATTGTTTGGGGTCACTAAGATGTATTTATTTATTTATTATATCACAGAGTTTATTACAAAGGCTGCAATTATTTGATCAAATAAAAACTAAAACAGTATTATTGGAAAATGACATTCGTGACCCTGGAGCACAAAACCAGTCTTAAGTCGCTGGGGTATATTTGTAGCAATAGCCAAAAAAAACATTGTATGGGTCAAAATTATTGATTTTTCTTTTATGCCAAAAATCATTAGGATATTAAGTAAAGATCATGTTCCATGAAGATATTTTGTAAATTTCCTACTGTAAATATATTAAAACTTTATTTTTGATCAGTAATATGCATTGCTAAGGACTTCATTTGGATAACTTTAAAGGCGATTTTCTCAATATTTTGATTTTTTTTTGCACCCTCAGATTCCAGATTTTCAAATAGTTGCATCTCAGCCAAATATTGTCCTATCATAACAAACCATACATCAATGGAAAGCTTATTTATTCAGCTTTCAGATGATGTATAAATCTCAATTTCGATAAATTTACCCTTATGACTGGTTTTGTGGTCCAGGGTCACATTTTTTATTTTAATATATTTTGAAATGTAATTTATTCCCGATGCAAATCTGAATTGTCAGCATCATTACTCCAGTCTTCAGTGTCACATGATCCTTCAGAAATCCTTCTATAGGTGCGTTCACGCCATATCGTAATTACCACAATTACGATAAACCAACTTGTAAAAAGCATTCACTTCCTTGTAGAACTCGTAATTGCAACTTGTGAACTGGGAGTTTTCTGAAAGCTATGACTTGTACCATCTGACCACCTCAGATTCATTAGGCGCTATGTTTAGGCATTGTTAGTGCGATAGTTCTGTGTCTGAGTCCAAGGATGTGAACAGCTCCAAGTGCAATGCCACATGTTGTCATTGCGAAATTACAGTAATTACGATATGGTGGGAATGCAGCATAATACGCTGATTTACTGATTATTATCAGTGTTGAAAACAAGTGTGCTTGTCAATGTTTTTGTGGAAACCGTGATTTTTTTTTAGGATTTCTTAATAGAAAATAAAAAAAATAAATAAACAGCATTCATTTGAAATAGTTTTACAATCACTTGTGATCAATTGAATGTGTCCTTGCTTAAAGTGATTTTGAATGGTAGTGTGTATTTGTTATAATAATCTGCATATCTGTCCCAGCTTCATTTGCAGAGACAGCTGAAAGTCATGCAGTAAGGCTACCCTCTAGTGGACTTACAAACCTTCAGTACTAGTCTTCTTGCTTATACCTTTTGCATCCATCCCATTCATTTTAATAAGAATAGTTATATTTGCTCACATAAGTGGGATCAGAAATGTACTAAAATATTTCTTATAAATATAATGCACTATTGAATTGAAATAAGACTTATTACAGTGCTGACAAAATTATTATTAGCACAGAAGGACATAAAAAACCATGTAATGATGACAAGTCAGTTAAATTGACACTTGATAATTCCAGTGATATACTTACTGAGGCCCTCTGACTTAACCAGCCTGTTCCCTTCAGAGGAGGGAAGGTCAAATGTCATGTCCACATCATTAGAGTGAACAGCGTCCCCATTAGAGGAAGCATTTGCGGCCTGCGGCTCTGCTTCCTTCCCCTTCTCCCTCTACAGTGTGGACGCCACAGAGTTCACATGGTTATGGGTAAACAAAACAAAATGGGTTGGGATGCAAATTATGAAATGAGGTTATGAAGGGATTAAAAAAAACACTCAAACTAGAGGGAATGCTGGGAGAAGGGGTGAA